ATAGAGACATTTTGAAATGTTTCCAAATCTCTGATCTAGGCCTGCCTCTCCTCAATTCCACTGAACTCTGCTTCTCAGAATCCTCATAGCAAATGACAGATGCAAGCCTGTTAATAGAAGGATGCAAGCTGTGGCTTTTGTAGATGCATGGTGATTTTGCATGTGTGCATGAAAGGGTAGAGGTTTCACTGTGGCCTTGCAGACACCTCCATTGGTATACCTGGCTTTATTGTATTTGAGGTGTTAAAGACATGTAGCAGTTAAGGTACTGGACTAGAAACCAGGAGCCTATGAGTTTTAGTCCTGCCTTAGGTATGAGAGCCAATGCGTGACTTTGGCCAGTTATACTTTCTCAGCCCAATCCACCTGATAAGGTGTTATTGTCAGGGGAGGGGGGGAGGGAGTATTTTGTATATCCGCCACTCTGAGTTACTTATAAAATAAGAAAGGTGGGAGAAAAATCTAATAAATCAAATAAATAAATAAGACCAGGTCTTTCAGAATTGTTTGGATGAACTTATTGGGAGCATACTGCATAATTCTCTGGTTTAAAACATTTAACTAATTATTCTATATATCACATTAACTTAATCATTGATTTGGTTTTTATCTCTGATTTGTATGCTACTGAAATAGCATAGTTTAAGTAGCATAATTTGCTACTTAAATAGCAAATTATTATTATTGATATATTTAAGTGGGGTGGAAATTGATCTTACATAGCAATAGCAAGGCATTTAGAACTAGCTAAAGACCAAATGTAGTAACTTAGTTTGAATTCAGCCTTATGTTGAAATACCGTATATATAGCAGGATAAACGTATTAGATCAAAATCCATAGATTTTTTTCTTCCTACAAAGACTCTCCACTCTTTAACAATAACACCAAATTAGATTGTTGCATATAAACAGAATTTGCTTAGAATGTATTCTTGCAATTGTTTAAAATGCATATAATAACAGACTACACATTTCAGTGTCATTGAAAGAAATTAATTTAGTTTGACTATAAAAGCAGAAATTTAAGAATTATATACACTAATCAATAAGATCAACTTTGATAGATGTAGAAAATGTGAAGGAAATAAGAACTTTTTCTTTGATATATTCTCTCTGAGATGATAAGAAAAAAATCAGAAGAAATATCTGTCTTCTGAGAGCATGAGACTGGAAAAACTGGTCTATGAATTTACTATACACTGTGTCATAAATCTTTGGAGCTAACAAATATAAATAAATCTTTGGAGCTAACAAATATAAATAGGATAAATATACAAGTTCCATTTTGTTCATTGGTCTGGAGTTAGTCACTACTTGGGTTTGCACATCATGTATAGTCTGCTAGAAGTTCATATGGAGTCGATAGACCACAAACAATGTAATAAACAAACAAAAAAGAAAAGTAGGCTGTAATTTGGTTTGCTTATTTGTGACTAAGCCTATTTTGTGAATCCTGTCTCTATAGTTTGTAAACTTGTTTATGGTTAAGTTCAATGTAGAAACCAGCCTGTTATGACTTGTCAGACTAGAACACTGGGCCATATTTAACAAATGAAATTCAATGTTGAGAAAAGTAAAGTCCTAGATTTAGGCAAGAAAAACCAAAAGTACACATATAGACTGGGTGAAACCAGGCTTAATAGCAGTAACTATTAAGAGGGATCTTGGAGTCTTAGTGGACAACTAGCTAAATATGAGCCAGCAGTGTGCAGCCGCCACCAAAAAAGCTAATGCAATCCTAAATTGCATTAACAAGGGAATACAATCAAGATCAAGTGAGGTACTAATACCACTCTATAAAGCCTTAGTAAGATCACACCTATAAAAAAGATGTTGAGACTAGAAAAAGTACAGAGAAGAGCAACCAGGGTGATTGAGGATTGGAGACTAAAACATATGAAGAATACAGGAACTGGACATGGCTAGTCTAGTGAAGACCAGGGGAGACATGATAGCAGTGTTCCAATATTTGAGGGGCTGCCACAGAGAGGAGGGGGTCAAGCTATTTTCTAAAGCATCTGAAGGCCAGACAAGGCCAATAATGGATGGAAACTGCAAAAAGGAGAGATTTAACCTGGAAATAAGGAGAAACTTTCTGACAGTGAGAACAATCAACCAATGGAACAGCTTGCCCTCCGAAGTTGTGGGAGCTTCATCACTTGAGACTTTCAAGAAGAGATTGGACTCTCATCTGTCAGAAATGGTATAGGGTCTCCTGCTTAGGCAGGGGGTTGGACTAGATGACCTATAAGTTCCCTTCCAACTCTGATGATCTGTTATCTATTCTCTGATTTTTATGTATAAAAAATCCTGTTAACAAAATATTGGTTTAGCATTATGTTTCTCTAAGTAGATCTATGAAAAGTTGGCATGTTCATTTTCTATTGCCAATATTATACAATATATAATTCCCATCCTGCCCCCTGTCTTTTCCACAACTCTTTGTGCTTTTATTTATTTACAAGCAATGTATATGGCTGCCCATTTCACTGTACCCTAACCCTAACTCCACATGTAATTAAAGATATAATGATATGATTGTTCTTGGCAGATCAACTTTAATCCCTTCCTTGAAGACAACCCCAGTCTTTGTTTATTATGAGTTATGCAGAACAGGGTTTGGACAAATGTTCTTGAGATAGCAATTTTCTGGTATTAAAATACCTTCCCACAGCCTTTCCTCACATGCAAAAAATGTAGTATTTTTGCAGACCCTGCGGTATTATGAAGGATGTTCACTGACTGATTTATTGGTGGTACTAAGCATATTTATCTAGAGTTAAATTGTGCATGCGTTTCAATGTTTCAAAAGTAAAAATAGGATCATATTTTTCATACTCGTAGTCAATTAATCACAAATTATTGTGATTATATTGTTAAGCATCTGCTGCAGATCACAGGATCCAATAGCAAATGAGCAAGAATGCCTTGAATTGGGTATAACTAGAAATCCCAAGCCATATAACACAAACCCCACCCCCTCTTTCACAGCCAGGTGAAACACAATTTCTTGCATATTCTACCTTATGATTATGAATACTTCTCCTATTATCATTATTATTTTATTCATTAAACATGAAACTCAGTCAACAAAAATGTATCCCAAATAGCTCTGACTGGTGCTGATGGTTGACATAGGTTGCTGGCAGCATCCTAGGTATCAACCATGTATCTTCTTAAAATGTATGATGTTCTGAGTGGTGCATTTTTTTGCAGTTCCACTGGTGTTATTGCAGGAAGTTGCAATTTCTTGATGTATTTTATGAAATTCTTGGACATGGTCCTAGTGCCCCAATGATAATGGGTATCGCTATTATTATTATAAACTTTTATTCATTAAACATGAAACTCAGTCAACTGAACATTTAAAAATGTATCACAAATATTACTGACTGGAACTGATGGTTGATATGGAATGATAGGGCATACGTCAGAACCCTGACAGCCAGCATCCTAGATATCAACCAAGTATCTTCTTAAAATGTATATTGTCCCAAGTAGCACAGTCTTTTGCAGCTCTGCTAGCGCTACAGCAGGAAGCTGCAACTTCTTGATGTATTTTGCAAAATTCTTGGGCAGGGTACCAAGCAGGGGTGAGCTGGTACAGGTTTGCCTGGGTTCAGGAGAATCCATAGCTAATGTTATAGCCGGTTCAGAGAACCGTCAAATCCTACCCCTGGCTGGTCCGTATTTCAATAAATACTTTCAGTTTTTGACAACTGTGATATCTGGTGTGTTGTGTTCCAAATGACAATCCATCTTTGAAAGTCCCATAAGGCCTTCACCTTCTTAATTTTGACAATGTTTTCCGCTTTATGTTCCCATGACTTTTCGGATACAGGTAAGTTGTATTTTTTACATAATGACCAGTGGATTAATTTAGCAACTCAGTCGTGTCTAGCTTTGTAATCAGTTTGGGCAATTTTGCTGCACTCACATATTATATGTGAAACAGTTTCAACTTTGTTGTTGCAAAGTTGGCAGCAACAGCAGCAGTAGCAGCAATTATTATTATTATTATTATTATTATTATTATTATTATTATGGTTGTTGTTGTTGTTAATCTTTGGTGAGATTCACAGCCTTTGGGGCTGGTTGGTAGGTCAACAGCTTGAGTCCTAACCAAGGACCTAGGAACTGTTAAGGTAGTGCTGGAGGATATAAGCTGTTCCAAGCAGGGTGGTTTTTTGTAGAATCAGGATATTCAAGTCTGATAAATTCAGAATTTCCGAATAGCGAGGTAGCCCTTTAGGTATTGCTCCAAAGGCTCCAATTACAATTGGGATAACACATGATTTCTTTTTCCAAAGTCACTCGACTTCAATTTGTAAGTCCCAGTACTGTGTGTTTTTTTCTTGCTGCTTGTCTGCAATTCATGGATCACCAGGTATTGCAATGTCAATGAACCAACCCTTTTTCTTTTCAACTATTGTTATGTCAGGTGTGTTGTGGGCCAAGTGCCTGTCAGTCTGTGTTGTGGGCCAAGTGCCTGTCAGTCTGAATTCTGAAGTCCCACAAGATCTTGACTTTTTCATTCTCCAGAACCTTCTCAACCTATGTTCCCAGTAGTTGTTACTATACTCAAATCCAAACTTTTGGCACAGTTTGCAGTGAATAATTTTAGCAACTCGGTTATGGTGTTCTAGATAGGCAGTTTGTGAAATTTTGCTGCACCCACTGATTAAATGGTCAACTGTTTCATTGTTCTCATTATAGAGGTGGCATTTGCTGTTGGTAGTGACATCCTGAATCTTTGCCTTCATGCAATTTGTGACTAAAGCTTGCTCTTGAGCAGCCAAAATAAAGCCTTCAGTTTCTTTTTTCAGTATTCCTTATTTTAGCCAGTTCCAAGTAAGCTTTTGGTCAGCTTTGTCTTCAATACTTTTCAGGTATTGGCCATGCTTAACTTTGCTTTTCCAATTTTCAGTTCGCTTCTCAATTACTTCTTTTTAGTATTCAGCTTTTGACTTGTTTGTCTTCAAAAGGCCTCCTTTATGTACTTCCTTAATCATTGGCTCTTCACTTCTCTGGACTCTATTATGTATTAAATCAGAGGCTTCTAAAATCCCTAAATACTTATAGCCTTCTTCTGGTTTCATTGCCTTTATCATTTCTTCATTTTCAAGTTCTATTCCATCATCTTCTATGACCTTTCCTGCTTTGATTGCCATTGCACATTTGTCAATTCCAAAGTGCATGCTGATGTCCTGGCTAAATTCTTTTGTGCTTTCAATTAGTGAATTCAGTTCACTTTTTGTTTTACCTAACAGCTTCAAATCATCCATGTACAACAAATGTGAAATTTTCCATCCTTTCTTTGCAAGTTTGTATCTACAGTTTACCTTCTTTAAAATGGTCGTCAGTGGTAGCATTGACAGAATAAATAGTAGGGGTGAAAGGGAGTCACCCTGGAAGATGCCTCGTTTAATTTCAACTTCACCCAGTTCTTCTCCTTTAGCCATAAGCTTTGTTTTCCAGAGGTTCATTGAAATTTCCATGAGATTTTGAATGTTGCTGCTGATGCCAAAGATTTCCAGGCATTTCTTAATCCAGCTGTGGGGGACTGAATCGAACGCTTTCTTATAGTCTATCCAAGGCATGAACAGGTTGATTAGCCTTTTCTTCGAATTCTGCAGAATTAGCTTGTCAATTAGCAGCTGGTCTTTTGTTCCTCTTGAGTTTTTGCAACACCCTTTCTGTTCCACTGGGAGCAGATCTTTCCTTTTCAAGTATCCATAAATTGGATTTGCAATTATGTCAGTAAGAAGCTTATAGCTTGTTGGCATGTAGGTAATTGGTCAGTAATTTCCTGGATTATTTCCTTTGTCCTTCTCTTTCTGAATTAAAAAATATTTCCAGTTGTTAGCCATTCATCATTTTCAGGTGTTTCTATAATTTGGTTCATTTGGATAGCAAGTCTTTAATGTAAGCTTGTTAGTGCCTTCAGCCAAAAGCCAGGCAGCTCATCTGGTGCAGGTACACTCCAGTTCTTTATTCTTCTTGACTGCCTTTGAACCATTCCCTTTGTTACTTTCACATCTTCCATTTTGGGCACTCTCACTGAGGACTCAATCTGTTTGATCTAGTTTGCTTTGTGCTTCTTGTCATTTTCCCACAGGTTCTTCCAGAATTTTAGAACTTTTTCTTCATCAGGCTTTTCATTTGTTGTTAGCCCTTCTTTCCTTTCCAGGTTCTTATAAAAGTGGTGCAGATTTGCTCTGAACTGTGAGTTTTGTTGAAACTGGATTAATCCATTTTCATATCTTTTAATCTTTTCAGCCATGGCAACAACCTTCTGCTTCAGCTCTTCAATTACTACAGCAATCTCCTTGTTCTCCAAATCATATCTTGCTGCCAAGCTGCTTTTGACCTGTTTGTTCTTTAGCTGGCCTTGTCTTAGGTTCTTCAGGTTGCTCAAGTCTCCACGGAGTTTCTTAATTTTCAATTCCAACAGAATTTTCCACTTTGGCTTCCCATTCTTGCCTCTTTGGTTCTTTTGTATTTTCAAATCCAATTCTTTAGTAGTTATGTAGGTTGCTGCATACATCAGCTGATTTGTTTCAGCTAATGTAGTAGTTGGGATGGTTTGCACAGCTTCATTGACTTTCTTCAGTGCATTTGCTAGTGCTTTCCTATTAACTTGGTTCAGTTTTGGCAAGTGTGTTCTTGCAGTGTCTTCCATTAGATCCTTTATTTTCTCAGCTAATTTATCTTTATCTGCTGGTGCTTCTTGATCTTCACATTTTTTCTTGTTTTTTACCTTCATCAATTGCAGCAACTTCTTCCCCTCTTTCTTCTGCATTTTGTTCTTGAGTCTGCAATTCACTCACATTATCATTCTTCTTCGTTGGGATGTTCAGGCCATTAGTTGCTTTCTTTTCAGTTTCTCTTAATTCTCTTGCAGTGAAAAAATTATGGCTCAGGATGATGATGATGATGATGATGATCATCATCATCATCATCATTAAAAAGAGCCTTCAGTACTTCTTTGTAGCCTCCCAGGGAGAAGCACCAAAGTGATAGCTTACTAGAATTAGAATTCTTTATTTGCCAAATGTGATTGGACACATTTAGAATTTGTCTCTGGGTGCATAAGCTCTCAGTGTACATACAATAGTGATAGATCATTATCATAGTCATTGTAAAAATATATTCATCATAAAACATTAGATACACTTAGTGATAGTTATGCATACTAAATAAGCAGTCAACACAATTAAACAATTTAAATCAGAAGATACAAGCAACAAGTTATAGTTATTAAGAAGGTATTTTCACAGTCCTCTTTCTGGCTCATGCAGTATATAGTTCCTCTATAAGCAGATTGGTAGCAACTGTTCTTTCTACAATTCTAATTATCCATTGAAGTCTGTGTTTGTCTTGATAGGTTGCAGTGCCAAACCAGACAATTATAGAGGTGCAGATGACTGACTCAATAATTCCTCTATAGGACTGTATCAGCAGTTCCTTGGACAGCCTGAGGATCCTGAGTTGTGCTTTTTTGATGACGTATTTGATGTTAGGTGTCCATTTTAAGTTTTGAGATATTATAGAACCTAGAAACTTGAAGGTCTCTACTGTTGCTACTTTATTGTCTAATACTGTGAGTGGTGGTAGTGTAGGAGAGCTTCTCCTAAAAATTACTATCATTTCTACAGTTTTTTTTTGAATAAATTTTATTGAATTTACAATTAAAAACATATCGACATTACATATACAACAGGGGGAGAAAAAGAAAAAAGAAAAAAAGAAAAAAAAACGCTCGGTCTTGCAAACCGAAAAAAGAAGAGAAAAAGAGATATAAAAGAAAGAAAGAAACAAAGAAACGGAAGAGAAAAGAAAATACATTTAAAAACAGACAGATATCCTTTTTGACAGTCTGCAAGATCCAATTCTCCTACCTTACTTTAAATACACACATCTTATCAATATCTATGCTTAAATTACCCATTGTTCATTAAACAGTTTATCTCTGAAATAACCAATTATACCACGAATTCCAATTATCATAAAATGTTGAAGACTCTTTATTTTTAAGTGCTATAGTTAATTTGTCCATTTCTGCACAGTCACATATTTTCTGGATGACCATTTGTTCTGTAGGTATATAGGATGATTTCCAGCACTGGGCAAATGCTAATCTGGCCGCAGTTAGAATATGAATTGTTACATATTTCATCTTTTTAGGTAAATGTTTATCAGAGATCCCTAGTAGGAAGAACTCTGGTTTGTATTCGATTTGTTCTTTGGTTATCTCCTCCAACCATTTTCTGATTTTTTGCCAGTATTTCTGGGCTTCTTTGCAAGACCACCACATATGAAAGTAGGTTCCTTCTATGCTTTTACATTTCCAGCATTTTGGACTAGTATTTGGGTTCATTTTCGCTAACCTCGAAGGGGGTAAGTGCCATCTATATAACATTTTATACATATTTTCTTTGTACGCCGTGGATTTCGTAATCTTGATGTTTCTATTCCAGATCTTTTCCCATTCTGTTAATGTAATGCTTCTTCCAATATTCCTACTCCACATTATCATGTTCCCTTTCACTATCTCTTGCTCTAATTCTACCTCCAATAAATATTTATAAAATTTGGAGATATTCTTTTTATTTGATCCTAATAAGATTTTATCTAAATATTGTAATTTGCTATAGATTCCAAACTCTTTGATATCTTGTTTGCAATTTACGTAAAACAAGATGTAAAGGCAGAATTAACCTGGTCGGATCCCGAAGGAAGAACTCTGGTTATACAAGTTTGGATAAACCACATCACATTTTTACTTGTAGCAATCTATGCCCCAAATGAAGACCAGGGGAAATTTTTTAAACACCTTCACCAAAAAATAGTAGGCTTTGAAAAAAGAAACATTTGCTTGATTGGCGATTTTAACTCCATTGCAGACTACCAAAAAGACCATAGTAATATGGGAAAAAACAAGAAGGGGAAAAGGGAACTTTCTGCGGCATGTAAGGAAATGTTGAAAGAGTTAAATTTAAAAGATTTATGGAGGGAACGGAATCTTGAAGGAAAACAATTTACATACTATTCTAATCCACATAAGACTTGGACTAGAATAGATATGGCTTGGATGGATTTGGATTTGGCTAATGAAATAAAAGAAATTAAAATCCTACCGAATGAATGGGCTGACCATAACCCAATACAGCTAATTTGGAGAGATAGGAGAGGAATAAAAAAAAGATGGACACTAAACACCCAAATTGTAAATGAAGAAGAGTATATTAATAAGCTGAAAGAGGAGCTAAACTATTTCCTAAAAGATAATAATGAAACAACTTCAAAACAGAATATTTGGGATACTATGAAAGCAATTATAAGAGGCACAACAATTTCCTATAATGCTATGAGAAACAAGAGAATTTATGCCCGACAAAACGTATTACAACAACAAATCAAAGACTTAGAAATACAATTACAAAAAACCCCTAAGATCCAAGGACTACAAAACCAGTTAATATTAGCCAAACATAAGCTGAATTTAATTGAACAAGATAAAATAGAAGTTAGCTTGAGAAGGTCCAAACAAAATTATTTTGAACACACCAATAAACCAGGAAGATGGCTATCTTATAAACTTAAAAAAGAAAAAGAAAAGAGACTGATACACCAACTAATAGACGAGAAAGGCATACCACAACATGAGATTGAGAAGAAAAAAGATATTATATTAAACTTTTCAAAGATTATATAAAAAAGAAGAAATCAATGAAGACAAAATAAGAACTTACCTGGAGAATACGAATGATAAAACAATAGGGGAAGGAGACAAAGAATTATTAAATAAGGATATTACATGGTCTGAGTTAAAATCCGCAATGGAGAATCAAAGTAATAATAAATCCCCTGGTCCAGATGGGATTCCAGTAGAATTGTACAAAGCCACAATAGATTTAGTAGGGCCACTGATGCTGGAAGTGTTTAACGAAGTACTTTTGGCAGCCAAAATGCCAGACTCATGGAGGGGGGCGTTGATTTCGTTAATTCCGAAGGAGGATGTAGATGCCAGATATATCAACAATTATAGACCAATCTCACTTTTAAACGCTGATTATAAATTATCTACCTCAATTATAGCGAATAGAGTAAAACAAGTTTTAAATTTATACATTCATGAAGACCAAAATGGTTTCCTTCCATCCCGCAAAATCAAAAATAATTTAAGAACCGTTATTGACGTCTTAGAATATTATGATGCTCATCCAGAGAAACAATTTGCACTCATGTTTTTAGATGCGGAGAAAGCATTTGATAACTTACA